GGCGCGCCTCTCAATAAGCAGAAGGTTATGAAAGTCAGGAGCTTCCAGGCGCAAACTCTGAATTGAGCTTGTAGGGAATCGACGTGAGCCTTGCTGGGAATTCAGGACATCAAGGTCTGGCCTTGTCTGGAATTGTCTAGTGTCGAGTTTCCCAAACTTCAAGCTTTCTGCTACCGCCTTTATTATTTACTTAACATTTTTCCTTAAATTGACTCAGTTTGAAAACCTAAGTACATATTTTTGGAAAGAAAACCTGATACTACCACTGTAAATTGAAAAGTAGCTGTTACTCACCAGAAAAGGAAATGGTAAAAGATAAATACAGCTAAAACCAAGCAATGTTAATACATTTTAGCTGTTCTGCTGGCTTGGAAAGACTCTTAGAGGTTCAGGGGTGTGTGTGTGTGTGTGTCATTAGCAAGTGTTGGGGATGTTCAATACTGAATCTTTCTCAGAAGAAATGAGACAATCAAAAAGAAAATGTTTCTCACTATTCAATGTTTATTTAATTCAATGTTAATTTAATTTTCTGATCCCAGACTGCACCTACCTAAAATAATATTAAGGACCTCAAGAGCTGGACTATTTAGGACTATTAAAGAACATGTAAAAAATTTCAGATTAAAAACATAACATGTTGATTCATTATTATTATTTAGCAAATAATTGTGTTAAACATTTTCTAACAGTATCATATTTAATTCTCACTATAAGTCTACAAGTGAGAGGCTCTCCAGGGTGGCCACGTGTGGTAGTACAGGATGTTCACTGAACAAGGGCACCCAGTCAAAGGGCTAGAAGGGTGTGAAGTCCAGCCCCTCTGTGTTCACCAATATGTGTACCTTGGTTTGGGGCCACACTGGAGGAACAGTACCCTTCTCTCATATGCACACATTATGTACAAAATTTGTGCAAAGTTGGGTTATGACCTAACTCTAATCTTAGAGATGGGGAAACTGAGGCTTAGAGAGTTTTGCAAAGCCCAGGCTAGGATCCTGTCTGATATTTTTAACTATGATCCCTTTGGGGGGGAAAAGCAGGGCTTTTGGGGGCTTGGGGAGGTGATGATGGGAGTTTGGAGGAGGGATGCCGAAAGACTAGTCCCTGGTTTGACTGAAGAAAAGGGGCAATCAGGCAGCCCAAACCTTCCCTCCCCCTAAATCTTCACACTTCCCACAAACATTGGAGAGGATTTGGGCAAAAATACAACTGGAGGCAAGGGTCCATTATCCCCGCTAGCAGCTAGATTGAGGGAGAGGAAGAAGGTGTTCTGGTTTGCTTAGGCCTACCTATGGATGTCTGGAACTGTTCCTTGACTTGCTTCTTGTTGTTCAGCCTACCTGCATGAGTCTATGCAACAGAGTTCTGACTTGTTCCCACCCACGCTGTTTGAAAATTTCAGATTCTTTTTATTATTTTTTTTGAGACAGAGTCTCATTCTGTTGCCCAGGCTGGAGTGCAGTGGTACAGTCTGGGCTCACTGCAACCTCTGCCTCCCAGGTTCAAGCGGTTCTCCTGCCTCAGCCTCCTAAGTAGCTAGGACTACAGGTGCCCGCCACCACACCTGGCTAATTTTTTGTATTCTTAGTAGAGATGGGGTTTCACTGTGTGAGCCAGGAGGTCTCGATCTCCTGACCTCGTGATCTGCTCGCCTCATTCTCCCAAAGTGCTGGGATTACAGGCATGAACCACTGCATCCGGCTGAAAATTTCAGTTCTTAAAGACAAACTGAGGGATTGCATTGCAACAGAGGTTGTGAATCAGAGGTTGCCTCTGATCACTCCTCTTTATTTATTTATTTTTTTTAGTTTGGCCTCCATAGTGGCCTTCCCCCAACTCCTGTTTGATTGAATTGCTTATTAACGTTTGCTAATTTGGTGATTTCCTTTAAAAATCTAGGCCTCTGGGTTTGTTTAAAAAAACTGAAAGCCTGTGAAATACAAGAGTTCTTTATGAGAACAAATACCTGGAGTTCATAGCTGCTGCCCTTCTACCTTGACACGCTGTGGTTTGCTCCAGTCCCCATCTGGCCCGCATCTCTCAATTTCGTGCGGACAGCTGAGTTTGTTAGTCCTATTTTGTATTATCAGCTGTGATAATGAGACACCCTTGCAGATAGACACTGTCCTCCAATGTGAGGGACCTAGCTAGGACAACATGGCAAGTGACTCCTCTTTTCTCTCTGTCATGCTCCTGGTTAGCTGGGTACCTGCTTTTCCATGGTGGGGCAAGGGTGAGAGTAGGTATCTAAGAGTGACAGGAATGAGTAGTTCTGACCCCCCAGAGGCTATCCAGGTGTCACAGCTGGGCCTATTCTTAAGCTCCTGAGAAAAGAATAGAAAGAAAGATCCTGCAACAGGAATGCGTAGGAAGCCCCAACTTTTTCTTGATTCCCTTCCTTAGCCCCAGCCCTCTCTTGAGTCCCATGTACCATCTTAAACACATCAAGCCAGAAAATCTGCATTTTCCCCTTCTTTTCTCCCTCTCTCTTTTTTTTTTTTGCAATATGTATTTGCAGAGTGCCTTCCATGTACCAGGAGCGGTGCCAAGTGCTGAGGACAGAGTAGTGAGTTAGAGAAGTACATTGTTGTAATGGAGCTTACATTTTAGTGGGGCAATCAGCTACTGAAGAGGGACACACACAGGACAGCTGAAGATAGCGTTACATTCTACAAAGCAAACAATTACACACCGTGTACCGGCTTGGATGGTGTCCTCCCCAGAGTTAAATGCTTCCCAGAACCTTGGGATGCGATCTGAGAAAACACATCCATTGCCGATGCTGAAGTGGGGTGGACTCTTAATCCAGTATGGCAGCTGTCCTTCTAAGAAGAGAAAAGACATAGAGACTGTGACCCAAGGGAGAAGACAGCCACCTGAAGACAGAGGCAGAGATTAGAGTGATGCAGCTATAATCCAAGGAATGCGAGGGGTTGCTGGCAGCCACCAGAAGCTAGGAGGGGGCAAGAAAGGCTTCTCCCTTAGAGGCTTTAGAGGGACCAGAGAACAGTCAATACCTTGAGTTCAGATTCTAGCCTCCAGAACTTCAAGAGGGTAAATCATTGTTGCTTTAAGCCACCCGGTTTGGAGTGATTTCTTATAGCACCTCCAGGAAACAAATGTCCAAGGTGATACGAGAGGAGGCAGGAGGGCCAAGGCTTTAGATAAATGGCACAATCACAGGAGGCTTTTGTGGGGACATGACAATTGAGGGAAGTGGAACCAGTCATGAAAAACCTGGGGAAAAGGGATTTTAGAGCTGCTATGTCTGGTTGCAGTGGCCACTAGCCATATGAGGCCACGGAGCACTTGAAATGCAACTGGTCGGAATTGAGATATGCTGAACATGTGAAATACACACCAGATTTCAAAGGCTTAGGAGGAACACAAAGAATGTAAAATATCTTTATTTTATTTTATTTTTTTTAGACAGAGTCTTGCTCTGTTGCCCAGGCTGGAGTGCAGTGGCTTGATCCTGGCTTACTGCAACATCCATCTCCTGGGTTCAAGCGATTCTCCTGCCTCAGTCTCCTGAGTAGAGTAGCTGGGACTACAGATGCCCGCCACCACACCCAGCTAATCTTTCTAGTTTTAGTAGAGACGGAGTTTCACCATGTTGGCCAGGCTGGTCTCAAACTCCTGACCTCAAATGATCTGTACACCTTTACTTCCCAAAGTGCTGGGATTACAGGTGTGAGCCACCACACCTGGCCTCCTTTAATTAATTTTAAAATGTTGATTACACATGGAGATGATTGCATGATGTGTTAGTCCATTTGCACTGCTATAAACGAATACTAGAGACTAGGCAATTTATCAAGAAAAGAGGTTTATTTTGGCTCGTGATTCTACAAGCTGTACAGAAAGCATGGTGTCAGCATCTGCTTCTGGTGAGGGCTGCAGGAAGATTACAATCACGGTGTAAGGCAAAGGGGGTCCAAGCACATCGGATGGTGAGAGAGGAAGCAGTAAAGTGAGGAAGTTCCAGGCTCTATTTTTTTTTTGAGACAGAGTTTCACTCTTATTGCCCAGGGTGGAGTGCAATGGTGTGATCTTGGCTCACTGCAACCTCCACCTCCTGGGTTCAATCAATTCTTCTGCCTCAGCCTCCCAAGTAGCAGGGATTACAGGTATGTGCCACCACACTTGGCTAACTTTTTGTACGTTTAGTAGAGATGGGGTTTCACCATGTTGGCTGGGCTGGTCTCAAGCTTCTGACCTCAGGTGATCCACCCACCTCGGCCTCCCAAAGTGCTGGGATTACAGGCATGAGCCACCACACCCATCCTCTAGCTCTTTTAAACAACCAGATCTCCTGTGAACTCATAGAGTGAGAACTCATTCATTACCATAAGAATGGCACCAAGCCATTCAAGAGGGATCCATTCCCATAACCCAAACACCTTCCACCAGGCCCCACTTCTAACACTGGGGATAACATTTCACCATGAGATTTGGTGGGCACAAACATTCAAGCACTATGAAATGAGATATCTATTGAATGTCACTCTTGGGGTGTACAAGGAAACAAGATGCAAAGAGGAACAAAATGTGGGTCCCAGCCTCAAGGAGAGGGGCCATCTGGATATGTTGGGCTAAATAAAGTATGCTATTAACATTTATTTTACTTTTTTTTCTTTTTACTTTTTTAAATGTGGGAACTAGAAGATTTTGGCCAATAAAATATGAGCAAATGTTTACATTTGTGGCTCATATTATATTTCTATTGCTTTGTGTTATTCTAAACAGAGGATGCAGCAAGTGCAAAGGCCCTGTGGTAGGGACAGAGCATCAGCACCCTGTGTTTGGTGGTTCTGTACTCAGTGTGCATGTTGACACTTACTTGCTAATGTCACTAGACCTGGAGAGCTGGTGTGGGAAGCCCTGTTGAACTTACAAGGGGGAGTCTATGAGTCTTTGTTCTTTCTTCTCAAGCAGAGAGCAAGGTCATGAAATTTAGATCTTCATACTGATGCTTCCTTCTTACTTGCCAATCTCATGTACTCCTTTAGGCCTCAGATGGAGAAAGAAGACAGCCCCAAACTTCATGCTTAGTATGTTGATCTCACTGTCTCCCTAAACTCGTCAGTGTGAAGGACATGGAGCTAGGCCTAACTCCAGAAGCCTCCTTATGTGCAGATGGCTGGCACCAAGATCAAGGTATTACAGTATAGAGCAGAGACTCCCCAAACCCACAGTTTGCAAAGTGAACTAGAAGGACCATGTTAGTTTCTTTGTTAAGCTAGAATTTTGTTCTTCTAAGACAGTTTACAAAAGGGCATCTTGGGGCTAATGCCCATATTTTTTGATAATTTTGCATGGTTTCAAAATTCTTTTTAGGTGTGGTTAAAATGCTGTATCAGTCAGGTTGGGCTAAGCTTTGCTGCAGTAACAAATAAGCCTTGTACCTTGCTGGCTGGTATCACCCACTCTACGTGTTGTTTGCTATGGCATTCCTCCATGCCTTCTGCACTTCAGGATCCAGACTGACAGAATAGCTTCCATCTGGAGTGTTGCTGAATGCCATGACCAAGCACAATGGGTCATGGTGTACCACAGACTGGCTCTTGAAGCTTCCGTTTGGCAGTGACCCCTGCTACTTCTGCTGATATTTCATTGGCCCAAGGAATCATGTAAACATGCTTAAAGTAAAGAGGGCAGGGATGCATTTGTCCCCCTGCAGGGAGGGGCACTCTATGGAACACCTACTGTGTATCACTTAAAATCATTTTAGCCCCACCTCCTACCCCAGCCACTGCTTCAACAAGCCTTGAGCAGGGCTAGCCTGACAGTACCCACTGCATACCTCTTAATTCTCTGATTCAGTGTCCTGGGTACCAGCAGGAACCTGTTAGCACTCACACACATGCCACCTACAAGTGCAGGGGATTTAACGCCTATGGGGCTACCTTTGGCCAAAGGGGATGGCACAGATGAATAACTATTCCCCTCTGTTCTCAGGGAGGGCAGGCAGTTCTGAGATGTATGCTGTAAGCACCTCAGAAGATCCTGAGAGCATCTAGCACTTAGAGCAGCGCCCACTCCAATTACCCATCCTTACATGGCTTCCCTCGCATCCCTGTCTCACTCCCTGGGCCTGCACTTACTCCCGGGGATCATTTCCCCAGTACACCAACTGCAGGTAAGCTTTTGCGTGGGGACCTGCTATGGAGGGAAACCAAGCTGAGACAGACAGGAAATTGATGGACAGTAACACAATCTTATCACTATCTCCGTATTTCAAAGTTGGGAGATTTAATATAAAATTCCAATATTAAGCTTTTCTGGAGAAATCAGATCTGGCAACACGTAACTGAAATTCTGGCAAGTCTACAAGAGGCTGGAATTGAATAGGGGCAGTGGCTTCCTTGAGTTTGGACCCAAGCTCTCTGTTGACATTCACTATCTGAGAGGGATAGTCTTCACTTTTCATGCTGCCTGCCTGGCTCCAAAAGTCATTTAGGTTTTTTGTTTTGTTTGTTAGTTTGTTTTAAATCTCTGTTATAGGAACTGTTGCTTGAGCTAGGTATCTATGAATCCTTGGAAATCTTTTTTATTACATGGAGAACTTTCTCATGTTGCGGGGGGGGGGGGGGGGGGGTTGTTTGCTTATTTTGTTTCTCTTTCTCTGTTTTATAACAAAAGGATCAATTAAAAAAAAAACAACTTAGTATAGTAGGTGCATAAAGAATGCTGAATCGATGACAAGATAAGTGACTGAGGTAGGCAGTTCCCAAGATCATCCTGATTTCCTGACTCTTATGCCCTTGTGGTGACTACTCTCTTGGAGTATGGGATAAACTTATTGTTTGCCTCTAATGAAGCAATAGGATGCCACTTCTGAGATTGGGTTATAAAAAGACTGTGGCTTCTGCCTTGGCCCTCTCTGACTCTCTGTCTCTCTAACATCCACAGCTGTGAGGCCATGAGAAGACTCAGTTAGCACATGGACAGGCCCACATAGCAATGAACTGCGACTTGCCAGCAACCATGTGGGTGAGCCTGAAGCAGACTCTCACATCCTAACTGAGTCTTCAGATGGCTATAGCCCTGGCTGGCCATGAGACTGAGCCCGAGGAGAAATGCTGAGACAAATGCACGCAGCTAAGCAGCCCCTGGATTCTTGATGTACAGAAACTGTGACATAATAAATTGTTGTTCAAAGCCAAGGGTTGGCAAAATACATTCCACTCGTTTTTGTAAATAAAGTTTTATTGGAACACAGTAATGTTCATTAATGTGCCTATTGTCATGGCTGCTTTCAGACTTCAACAGCAGTAGCTATTCAATAGTTGCAGCAAAAGACTCTATGGCCCACAGGCCTAAAATTTACTATGTGGCCCTTTAAGGAAAAGTTTGTCTATCCCTGTTTTAAGCTGCTAGGTTTGGGAATCATTGTTATCTAGCAATAGATGACGAATACACTTTCAAATCTAAAACAATCGTCCTAACTGGGCTTGCAGGTCTTGAGGTAGGGTGTCTAATTTCAGTTTAGCTCCGTTGAATAGAAATTAACTGAGCACCTACTGTGTGGCAGGCATGGTCTCAATCATACTCCAGAATGGCACATTCAGTTCTTTCTCCACCATCCCCTCCAGCATTTTCTTGGTCTATGGCATGATTTGCCAAATATGTGTGGATTTCAGTTGGCTTTTAGAGGCTGGAATTAGCAAGACACTCTTTGGAATGCAACAGAGAACTCTGTAATCATGGGGAGGGGAGCAGGGAGCAGGGAGCAGGAGGACATTGAGCTGGTATGTCCATACAAAGTTCTGATAGTTGTTAAAATACGGAAATATTTCCATCCCACCCTATGGAAATATAGGGCCCCAAATGCCCTACCTCCAGTAACAAAAGGTGTGAGGTGTAGCCCAGCCAGGACCACCCACACTTCTGAGGGCCCCTCTAATCGGTCAGTTCCCATGCCATCCTAGTAATTAAATATTGGCACATGGTTCCAGGACAAACTTCTGGCTTGTTCCGAAGAGGTGCTCAGTAATGTCACCTGCATGATGGAATTCATAGACATCGATTGAGTATTTGCCCCTTTTTGGAGTGGACAGGGGAAGAGGATGTAAAGAGGAATAAGATATGGGTCCCAGCCTCAAGGAGAGGGGCCATCTGATTGTCTATGTGTGTCTGATCTTCAGTTGGCAGGAGGGTCCGCAGTCAGACCCTCAGGGTTGAAATCTGACCCTATTTCTTACCAGCTGTTTGACCTTGAGCCAGAGATTCAGCACCCTGTGTGCCTCAGTTTCCTCCCCTGTGACCATAATAGTTCCTACCTCATAGCGTTTTAGTAGGGATGCGCTACACATGGGAAGTGCTAACAGTAACGCCTTGTTCCTAGCTAGCACTCAGAAAATATTAGGAAAAAATGATCACCGTCCAGGGACCAAAAGAACATGATCTGAGGGGTCACAACAATATCAAGATGTACATTCAGGAAGAGTTTTTTTTTTTTTTTTTAATTGAAACTGAGTTTTGCTATTGTTGCCCAGGCTAAGTGCAATGGCACGATCTCGGCTCACTGCAACCTCTGTCTCCTGGGCTCAAGTGATTCTCCAGCCTCAGCCTCTTAAGTAGCTGGAATTATGTGTGTGTGTCACCACGCCTGGCTAATTTTGTATTTTTAGTAGAAATGGGGTTTCATCATGTCGGTCAGGTGGGTCTCGAACTCCTGACTTCAGGTGATCCGCCTGCCTTGACCTCCCAAAGTGTTGGATTATAGGCATGAGCCACCATGCCCAGCCAGGAAAAGTTGATTGATCATGGACTAGATTCCCGGCTCTGGTCTAGGCCCCATGCAGGCAGACAGGGCTGGTTTCATGGGCATGGGACCTGTGCACAGAGATCTTCCCTTTGTTTAATCCTCTGCTGTTGCCATCTTGAGATGCTAAAGAATTTTCCAACAAGTGACTTGAACTTTTATTTTGCACTGGTTCTAACAGATTATATAACTGGTCCTGCTTGTAGAGGTGGATATGGCAAAGTTCTGATCTTCAGGAGCTTTGCCAGTCTTCTGCCCAGGGGGTGCTAATGGGCCCATCTATCTGTACATCACAGAACTGCGGGCATTCTGATGGAGCACTGGGCCTAAGGCTGGCTCCCATGCTTCTTGGTTGGGTTGAAGCAGCCCAAGAGACCTCCCTGAGGTCACAAAGGAACCCACAGCAAGGGTCTAGCTTGTCTTACACCACCATCAAAACCTGGAGAGGAAAACCGGTAAGATCAGGTCCTGTGAAGCATCCAGTTAAGGGAATGCTGCTTGGATTTATTTTCTGCAAGAGGAGTAAGGCCTTGAATTCTGAAATATTTTTGAAACCTTTAGAAAATCCCCCTTTAATCACTGATGACAGGTTGACATTTCTCCAGCTGTTTAGAAGCAGTAGACAAGTCAAGTTGCTTGGTAGGGCACAGGCTGGCATGCTGGGATATGTGTGGGTTCTAACCTCCTTCCCTTTCACTGGTTCCCTGCAGCTGGAGGAAAAAGAAGAGAAAAAGAAACCAACCAAAACCCAGGCCCTTGTGGGGTTCATGCCAGTCTATGCCATCTGCATTTGGGGATTTGCTCCCAAAAGTAAAATCTTAATTGGGTAACTTTCCTTCTTCTTCCCAGCTCATGGATTTACCTTTTCGGCAGCGTCCCACCACGGCAGCTTTTGTGTTTCTCTGTCCTTAAATCTACTTCTTGGTTGGAAGAATTGTTTTATTGGCTCATCAGGTGCCAGCAGGAATTCCTTCATTTCCTTCCATCCCCAATTCCACGTGTGATCAGGACCTGGGTGTGGAGTATAATCCATGTTCCACCATGAGTGAGCTTGTTGGTTAAGGGTATGTGCTCAAATCCCAGCTCTGCCTTTCAGTCTCTGGGGGGCCTTGGGGAAGTGACTTGGCCTCTCTGTGCTTTTGTTTCCGCATCTATAAAGTGCTCTGAGAAGAATGGGAAGACTTCAGACATGTAAAGTTCTTAGAATACATAATTAAGCGCATAGACACATAACCATATATTTAAATATATAAATATATATATCGCTCTGTCGTCCAAACTGGAGTGCAGTGGCATGATCTCAGCTCACTGTAACCTCCGGCTCCTCGGTTCAAGCCATTCTCCTGCCTTAGCTTCCCAAGTAGCTGAGATTACAGACACACGTCACCACGCCTGGCTAATTTTTGTATTTTTAGTAGAGACGGGGTTTCGTTTTGTTGGCCAGGCTGGTCTCAAACTCCTGATCTCAAGTGATCCCCCCATCTCGGCCTCCCAAAGTACTGTGATTACAGGTGTGAGCCACCATACCTGGACTTTAACATATTTTAAAGGCATCTTTTCCATTTATTATTACGGATGGATATAGTACTACCTCCACCATTCTATTCTCCCATTGATGAAACCTCTCACAGGTACATAACACTCACCATGTTCCAGGTGCGATTTTAAGCCCTTTACAAATATTTGGAAGCTTAAATCTCAAAACAACCTTATAAGGCAGGGTCTGTTGTTTCTCCCATTTTGTAGATGAAGAAAACCGAGGCACAGAGAGGTTAAATAACTTGCCTGAAGTCACACAGCTAGTAAGTGGCAGAGCCAAAATTCATACTCATAAATCCGGCTCTAGAGACACCCCACTCTTAACCATGGTGTTCTGCTAATGTAACTTGTGCCTTGTTGGACATTTAGTTTTTCCTTTTTCAGTAAAAATTTAAACTTCTTATTGAAGAATGCATGTGTATCAAAAGTGTAGGATGGGCTGGGCATGGTGGCTCATGCCTAGAGCCCCAGTACTTTGGGAGACTGAGGCAGGAGGATAGCTTGAGCCCAGGAGTTAGAAACCAGCCTGGGCAACCCAGTGAGACATTTCTCTACCAAAAACCAAAAAATTAGACAGGACCACATATGTGTGGTCCCAGCTGCTTGGGAGGCTGAGGCAGGGGGAATCTCTTGAGCCTAGAAAATCAAGGCTGCAATGAGCTGTGATCACACCACTGCATTTCAGCCTGGGCAGATAAGCAAGATCCTGTTTTAAAAAGGAAAGAAAAAAAAGTGTAAAATGTATTCATTTCCACAAAGTGAGAATATCCATGAAACCATCATGCAGACCCCAACACAGATGATAACACCTATCAGAAGCCCCTTGGGGTCTCCTTGTAGTCGTTCCCTCACCCCTGAAGGTAGCTACTAGCTCCACTTCCGACAGCAGAGATTTGTGTTACCTGTTTCTGTATGTTATGAATATGGAACCATGCAGTATGCCTTCTTTCATTTCTGGTGTCTTTGGCTTGACGTTACGTTTGCGATTCATCCATATCGTTGCACACGGTTGTAGATAGTTTTTTCTTTTTTTTTCCCATTTATTTATTTTATTGCATTTTAGGTTTTGGGGTACATGTGAAGAACATGCAAGATTGTTGCATAGGTACACATGTGGCAGTGTGATTTGCTGCCTTCCTCCCCATCACCTACATCTGGCATCTCTCCCCCCGCTATCTCTCCCCAGCTCCCCACCCCCCACCGTCTCTCCCCTATTTCTCCCCAACTGACCCCAGTGTGTAGTGCTCCCCTCCCTGTGTCCATGTGTTCTCATCGTTCAACACCCGCCTATGAGTGAGAACATGTGGTGTTTTGTTCTTCTGCTCTTCTGTCAGTTTGCTGAGAATGATGGTTTCCAGGTTCATCCATGTCCCTGCAAAGGACACAAACTCCTCGTTTTTGATGGCTGCATAATATTCCATGGTGTATATGTGCCGCATTTTCCCTGACCAGTCTATCATCAATACCAAAAACATTGACAACAAAAGCCAAAATAGACAAATGGGACCTAATCAAACTCCACAGCTTCTGCACAGCAAAAGAAACAGTCATTAGAGCAAATCGGCAACCAACAGAATGGGAAAAAATTTTTGCAGTTTACCCTTCTGACAAAGAGCTGATATCCAGAATTTATAAAGAACTAAAACGGATTTACAAGAAAAAAACTAACAACCCCATTCAAAAGTGGGTTGTAGATTGTTTTTTCTTATTGCCACATGGTGTTCCACTTACAATTTATCTGTCTATTCTACCGTTGAGGGGCACTTGGGTAGTTTTTGTGAATACCACTGCAAGGAGCCTTCTGGTGCATGACTTTCTGAGAGTCTATGGGTGCATTTCTGATGGGCGTGTCCCTAGGAGTGAAACCGCTGGGTCAGAGGGGATACATCTGCCAATCAGTTTGCTGGAGGTTTTTCAGTTTGT